AATGATGATCTTTTTTTGAAAATTGAATGCTCAAATGCATGGTTGTTATTGTGTTACGATTTTGTTTGTTTGAGTGTAATGATACCTGGCACAACATCTGACATATTTTTCAGGGTCATGGGGGCTACAAATCAGTGCTCTATATGTCTGGGGGAAATCAAATCCTCAATCGGAATGCTAGGTAGATGCAAGCATATCTTCTGTTACGATTGCATCAAGAAGTGGTCTGAAGCTAAACGAACCTGTCCTCTTGACCGTACACCATTTGACTCAATCAATATACTACACGAAATTGGTGGTGCAATTGTGGAAGAGGTTTGTTATGATGCTCACTTTCAAATAGCATTACATTTTAGGAAAAGCTAGAACCACGAAGGTTGATTCAACACAATGGTCCGTACAGTGACGACGATGACAGCTTGTTTCTTTTGGTTTCACCTCAATTTGGGGAACTTATTCGTTCAGGGATGTATTTACATGTCATTCAAGCAATGCGCCGAGGAAGACCTTGAGCTTTTTTTCATACACTTTTCAATTGTGTTGATTTATTTCCCCTCCACCCCCTCCCCTCAGCACTTCTTCGAAACTTCGCATGTTGCCGCGAATGAGAGAGGCACTTTGGAAGAATGGTAAACAGTGGATTATTCGGAAGGCTTCTGCCCCTCATTGGTCCCATGAATTTTCTTCATATTCTTCTTCTCATTATCATTGTTCTTGTTGTTATAGTCAACCTGAAAAAAGTTAACCACTCACCTTACTTTGTCTATGCAAACTCATGTGTTCTCTTCACTGTGTAGAAGTAGATGGATAGTGAGGTCACAATTTACAGTGATCGATATTCGCCTCATAAGATGGAAACGCCAAGTGTAGAGCAAGTTAGAAATCACGTTTGGAGTGAAGTTGTATGTTGTTGTGCATTTGCTTAGCCTGCAAATCACAATAGTCGATGGTGATATTGATGCCAAGAAGCCGATAACTTCAAAACCTCCCTGTTTTAGGGTTCTGCTTGCGATTTTGGTAATGGCATTCATCGTTTTAGAGGAATGGACAAGTTGATGTTAGCAAGTTTTCATTGTTTAGTTAAGTGGTGAGTGAATGGAAATTTTGACTAATCACATAAATGGAGTTGGCCGTTTTGAATTATTTTGGCTTTTTCTTATTTGTGAGCAAAGCATTTTATGCTAGACCTGAGTGTAAAGTACGAAAATTTGATTCTTTTGCATTTTATAAGTGGGTACATCACTTTCTTCCGAATTTTATTCAATTGTTTGTCAAAGTAAATGTCTACTGACCAACCGTCCTATCATACTTTCCAATGAATTCTTGCATTTTAATATATGCCTATATATGCCATATGAATAAGTGTGTTCACGTGCGTGCCTGTGTGTTCTTGTTCTTTGTGACCCTAATCTCAACAGACCACTTGGGACAATGAAAAACACGTTGACACACGTTAACTACCTTATGCGCACAACAACAACTTTGCGGCATGTATAAGTTGACTCGATGTTGCCCTACTATCTCATTAATGGTTTCACCTCACTGTTTATCTGCGGTTTTACGAAATTAAGGTCATTCAATATTGGATAAAAACATGTTTCTATAGAGTATGTTGTTCCAATACATATGATTATTTTGAGTTCCGAAAGTGCGTTTGATCCATTTTGGAATGAGCAAATGGTTTATGAACTTATGTTAGTAAATAAGTCAATGATCATTAGTGGTTTATCGGTTCTAAATGTATCCAATAGTAGTGAAGACAACTCGTCAACCTTTGTTTCAAATGATTCTATATTCTTGCAATCGAAGTGTGCTCAAGCCTTTGAAAGTGTAATGGCCTTTACCTCAATAATCGATACTTGTCGCCAGGCATTTCGTTATTTTGTTTCTGATTCTACCTATTTCCAGATGTATCTTCATTTTGCTAATTACACTACACCTCGTGAGCAGCGGTGGATGGTTTGAATTCACTTTCTCGTTCCTTTATATGATTTCAATCCTGGTTTAGTCTAATATTTCTTCGTAACCAGGATTCCTATATATATATATATATATATATATAAATAGCAATTTTGAATGCAATAAATATCAATTATGCATGTACCCTATAATAAATCAATTAATTTCGAAAATATGCCAATAGTGGTACAAAGTAAAAGCTCACAAATGTATATTTTCTAAACTTAGAATTCTCCAACACCAGTGCACAATGATTAGTTAATACTTCTAAAACATATTTCAGCAGACCAACGTTTGCCGCCTACACACTCAGGGAATAATGTTTCTTGATCATTGTTGAACATTCGCGAACTGACTGGATGTTCATCTCAAATCTATTTGATGAGCAGATAATGACTAAAATATGAATTTTTTGGAAAAGATTTTGAGAACAAACCAACTCATTCACAGAATTGGATTTTCGAATAGGTAACAAAAGGTAAAGATTGTCCAAACCAGCATTCCATCTATTTCAATAGATTGTCAATCTGATATTGATAAAATCGATCGTGTTTATAAACTTATTCAATACTTTGAACCCTCAAATTTAACTCGAGCTGGGTGAGATAAGTGCACATGAAAATTTGGTCTTTTCAGTCTGAAACTCCAACATCTCCAAAGCCGCATGTGCAAAGGTTGGCAAATTTAATACTCTTTCCTTCAATTAAGCCCACAACGTTGAACATTTGAAACGCAAATGCAACCCTTTAAATGCTTTTTTTCATATTTCATGATTCGCCGAAAAAAGATTGAAGAAACGTACATCGAAATTTGACAATTTCTTTTCGTTATTAAATTTTCAAAATTTCCTCTTCATAAACAACGTTATTATCGCCAAAATGATTATATTATTTGTAAATCAAACACTTGCGTCTCCGAGGGATGAAAGTGTCTCAGGGTTTTTAAAACATACATTTAAATCAATAAAATTAAATTGCATTTACCTCTTTCCAATAATTGACAATGGTGAGTCTGCTTATAAGAGGGAAAAATGCAGGTATATAATGATTCACACAATATGCCATTTTTTGGTGATTGCATGTTTACCTTCGATTCCTCTCTGCTTCATGGCAATTGAATTAAAATTATCTGGAGAGATTTCACGCCTTCCTCAAGTGCACTCGCTAATTCCCAAGTTGAATCGTATTCTCAGAGTAACTTTCCTCACATCTAATACCAATACAAAACAAATGTGTTCAAGGTGTACGCACTGAGATGAAATGACGTCGAATTCAACGAGACAAGTTGAGTAAAATGCCTCATTTCTTCCCTTGAACTTCTATTCTATTTCTCCTGTTTGCAAATAACTACTTTGGAATTCTGAAATTGACTTTTGATAACCCAGCTTTGATAGGAAAACTGCAACTCTTTTGCCTTACATTCAGATATTGAATGATACTTGTTAGCAAACGCTTGCCATCGAGTAAGATTTATATGAAATAAAACCTGAGAAAATTTGCGAGTCATCTTTGTTTAGCACAAATCAGCTATATTTAATTGGCAATTCTTCATAGTTCTATTAAAATACTCCTTTATCATTGTGCTAGTAGCTATAATATTCGCATAAATAATTGTCTTGTTATGGTTACTGATACTAAATCAACATTGAATATATTTGCAATCCACTTTAAATCTTGCACCCCATTCAAAATATGCAATAAAGCGTTTCTAATTACTGATCATTCGGTTTATTTGATTGAGTCAATTAATTGGCATTTTGAGTGCGTATTAAGGGGCTCCATTTCAATGGGCCTATTAAGTTGTCCCAGTTGAAGTGCTATTACCCAGAGAGAAATTAAAATATTTTTGTAGAGCCTACGTTAAAATCTTCATTACTGTTGCATTAACTTGCAAAATTGCACAAACCCAACTTTTGTAAGTGAGTTACAGATTGGGGTAATTGAAATTGTGAAAGTCATAATGGTAGGACTTCCAATGTGTTTTACCATTTATTATCAATTTAATTTATTCAAAATGTGTGTGTTTAAATTTATATTTTTAAAATTTGTTTTTGAAGACGAAACTATGTATTATTCATTTCCAGATTTGTTTTATTCATTGTAATAACCAATGAGAGATTCCAACAGCAACTAAATAAGGTAAAATCAAAGTTAAGTGAATTTTTTTTAAATAAAAGGCAATAGAAATTGTAAACAGTGACAAAAATAAAATGACTTGCTTGAGAATACATATGCAATGGTGCAACCTATTTTCAAAATGACATATTAAGGTGGATAAGGTATCATTTTATGAAGTCTGTCCAATTAACATAAATTACTTAAATTAAGCATATTTAATTTATCATGACGAATTAGAACAGAAATTAACTAAACGAAGTAAATCATTTTAAATAACTAAGGAAAAGTAGCAAATCTAACTGAAACTAAATCTGTATTCCATTCTCTCATTTCCAATTGTGAATCACCCTTGTTTGGTTCTGTTTCCTCTTCGTTCTCTGGAAGATTGCAAAGATTTCGATTTATAACACAACTCTTCTGAACGAGTAGTGCTTGCTTGCTTTCGCATATTGAAAGCTAATGGATTTTGCATGATCTTTTGACATCGAATAAAGATAAAGATTTAAAATATTCTTAAAGGCTTTAACCACTATGAAAATTTATTCATCATCTATTTGTATATATTCACTTTACTAAAATGTAAATTACCGTAATAGTATTTATTTCAGGTTTATAGAAAACGTTATCGGGCAAATCGTAATGACTAGTAAAGAGCCCGATATTTGTCTTTATTTCTTGTCAACTCACCAGGGCTTGTTGTTGTTACTTGTTTGTATTCTGAAAAAAATGCGGATGATGACCAATAAATAACACTTTCATGCATTTCGATGCTTTTAATTTTCTTCACAGTGTTTTAATTTTATTAAATCAAGGTTAGTGAAGTTCACCAATTTATTTATTAAAATGGATTAATGGAAAATAATCCTTATTAAATTTGCAAAATAGAAATGATTAATGAATGGAATGCACTTATAGTTTTCGCATATTATGAAATATATGACATAAACTCATAACGAATGAAGTTGCAGATTGTCGTTAATTATAGTAAAAGTAATATTGCCCCAAAAACAGAAGAGAACTAACGTTTGCATTCCTCAATATCGAGTGACTCACCCAAAGTGGAATACATGTTTTTGAGAGGGATAGCTCAATGTTTACAGACACGCATATTCGAAAATTGACTTACCGCCTTCCTTCCAATAGACACTAATTCCTATGTTTGAAGTGGAGCTTCTCAAATAAAAATGTGTGCTAATATCTTTACTTTCTCGGTGATATTCGAGTGTGGTTTCCATCTGATTTTTTTTCATTGTTATAGGTAAAGTTTTCTAAGGGAAACAAAGTATTTTCTTCAAATTAGTCTGAATTACCAAATTAAAAAATAATCACTTTGACTCACGGCAATAATGTGAAACACTCTTCTTCAAAAATTCTTTTTCCCATTTGCAAATCATCTTGCTATTTTCGTACAAGATTATCTTAATGAAAAGCAAGAATCAGAGCGTTTATTACAAATTTGAAATGAATGGCATAATTTGATCTGGATATACATATAAAATGCTTCATACTTCACTACTTGAATTAGCAAATCAAAATTTGATTTGAAGGTAAGATATTTTACAATTCAATTTCATAACTAATTTGCTTGTAAGCCTAATGGTTTCTACACCCTTTCTTTAATAAAAAGAATACTTAAGTCAAAATGACAAATCAAAGTAATGGAATTATCTTCATTTAAGGAAAATGAAACTCACTTCGCCGTCGATGTTCGTCCCGTTAACGGAAAAGTTAAGTTTAACAGATGACTTTCCTTTCTCAAACCTCACAAATGGAAAAGACTCTGCTGGTATGAGATGCCCTACAAATAACCGAAAAAAACAATGTCATCAAATCTCATAACTTAAAAAGTAAATGGAAATAGTATAGCATGAAGAAGAAGTGTTCCATTACAATTCCGGACATCTAACCTGGTTCAACAGATTTGAATTGACATTTCGGCGCAAATATGACAACACAATCTAAATTGCTTGCATCAAGAATCAATTTTTCAAATCTTGTAACGTTATTGATTGTTATATTTAAATAACCTAATTGGAAAATAGAAATTTGTAATGATAATGTTCAGTACACAAAGATGTTAAATTGGCATAGACATGGCTTGCCTGAAAATCAATGCAATGTCAATTGCATTAAATTTCTACTTACTGCTGATCCACCCAAATGAAATATTAGAGGACCTGATTTATTAGACGGTTTCGACACAATTCTCGAACAATTTGATTGAGTCGAAACCATGCCATCTATTCCAGAAGAAATAGTTAACTGCAGAGAGATTAAAACGAATTGAATGGTAAACATTGCCCTCGTAAGTGTAATTCAACATTTTGCACATTTTTATAATTCTCAGTAACCAACCAATTTGTATCTGAGTACTTTGGTAATACTCAAACATTTATCGCAGCTCATGTAAGCTTTTGATTGGTGCAATAATGTAAGACCCACACAAAATTGGTGATACATTAACAGCATCAACGAATGGAAGGATTTGAAATTTTAAATTTATTTATATCAATATTCATATGCACCAATGGAACAGCAGACAACTCAGAGACGGCAAACATTGACGGACATGATCAGATTCAACAGTATCTTTGGTGCTTCCCAAGAAGATCTAGCCTTAAAGATAAAATGCAAATTCATCGCAAAGCAATATTTGATAAATGGAAGCTCGTAGACATTCCATTGGGAATACATAAGCCAAGGTGAAATCGGGTTTAAGATGTGTGCCTTGATATTTATTTATTTATTTATTTCAGATAGCAGACATTGTGATATTTATCATTAGCCCTTAAACTTCGACTTCAGCTTCCCCCAAGGGTGAGGGGGGGGGGGTACATTTATAGCAGTTAATTAATAGCAGTTCATTACCTGTCTTCTTGCTTCCCAGTATCTCTGGCTTTCCGTCGTTGTCTTTAAGGCTGGACACCGAATCCAGTGAGTCTTCTCCAATTCCTCCTGTAGGTAACATAGAGGGCATGTGAGCTGAGTGTATAATCCCAATCTGTGAAGATATTTTGCCAAGCAATCGTGTCCGGTACGTGGTCTAAACACAGCAACGGCTTCGATTCTTGGCCAGTCGGCTATGTCGGAGAGTGCCACTGTCCACTGTTTCTCCTGTGTTCGAGCTTTAAGTTCGTTGCACCTTGAGGTCTGGAATTCCCTTCTGATTAAGGCCTTCATTGTGTGGAAAGACATTGGCCGGTCCATGCATTGCAAAATCGTTGTCCCCTTCTTAGCGAGTGTGTCAGCAAGCTCATTGCTTTAATGCCACAGTGACCTTAGATGCTGGTTTATGCTATGATGTGCCAATTTTAGAATTAGCCTCTCTTTCCATACTAAGTCATTTGCTGATTTGAAATCGACGAAAACAGCCGTAAGGGTATTTCTCGGACATCTTTGATTTGTAGGGAGAAAATGGCTACTTGTTGGTTCGTTGATCTTTGTGGCCTAAAACCGGCTTGTTGACTCCAAAGAATATTGTTGGTCTCAAGGAACCAGATCAGTCTCCTGTTAACCATTTTTTCCATAAGTTTAGCCAGCGCGCTTGTGAGGGAGATAGGCCTATAATTGTCAAAGTTGCAAGGGTCTTTGCCCTTTTTTATTACTGGTATTACTATGGCAACTTTGCGTTAGTTAGGAACGAGACTGGTCTCCCAGATTTTGTTGAAAATCGTCAGCATGGTTTCCTTGGCTTTTGGTCCCTTTCTAATTAGAAATTCCGGACTTGGCTTTTGGTCCCATTCTAATTAGAAATTCCGGATGGATTCTTTTGGACCCATTCTAATTAGAAATTCTGGATGAATACCATATTCTTATTAGAAATTCCGGATGAACACCGTCTTCGCCAGAAGACTTCTTGCACTTTAGCTGTTTTATCGCAGCATTAAGTTCGCAAGGTCGGAATGGTTCAGTAAGTACATTATTTGATGTTGCGTCTTCCTTAATTTCACCAAACTGTCTTACTTGTAGCTCTAAATCTCTTGAAGATTTTCTGACAAAAGGCTTTTTCATTTGCTTGTGGGAATAGAACCTCGCAAAGCAGTTGGCTCTTTCGGTGTCGGTGGTAAGCGATTTGCTGTTTAAGCGTATTTGTTCTGTCTTAACTCTCACCCTGTTGTTTTGGATGTTATCCAGGAATTTGAAAGTGCGTTGGCTATCACTTTGATAGTTGATATTAGAGATGAACTTGTCGATGGAAGTCCATTTTGCTTGTAAGATGGCTTGCCGTAGGACAGCTGATTGTCGTCTCCAGGCTTGTACGTCTTCCGTTCTTCCAGTCTGATCAGAGGTGTTGCGAAGGGCGTCCCGCTTTCTTTTCAGTTCCTCAAGGTGTTTAGACCAAAACACTCTGATGTGTTTAGTCTCGCCTCGGGGAATAGTTTTCTTTGCACATCTGATCATAATATTCGTGATATCAGTGCAAAGTTAGTCGGAATGTTGGTTGAAGTTGAGGGGACTTGTGTGAAGTTCATTGTCTAAAAGGTTTGTGAATCTAGGCCAGTCAGCCTTCTCGAGGTTCCATGATAGCTTAATTGGCACTTTCCTTGTCATGCTTTTGCCGCCGATGCTAATACTAGCAATGACTGGTTTGTGACCAGATCTAGAATCGTCAATTATTTTGCTGTGAGTATGCTCACTGATGCCGCTGGAAGCCAGGAGTAAGTCAGGTGTTGGTCTGGTTCCATTGTAGTGCAAATATGTAGCAGGATCCTCATTGCTATCTCAATGCAACATGTAGCAGGATCCTCATTGCTGTAAATAAGTTCCAGAGGGTTGCTGTTTAGCATGTCTTCAATTTCCTTTCCAGCAATGTTTGTGTCCCTGTAGCCCCATCTGGTTTAATGGGCGTCGTAGTCTCATAATACTATAGTTTTGTGTGAAATGTTCAGAAAGTCAAAGTTGCGACAATTCGGGGGTGAATTAGAGACTGCATATATCTTGAATTGGTTTTGACATTTCCAAACATTTAATCTGATTATTTCACATATGCCTTGTGTCGAGCCCATACTCTTGATTAGATCGTAATTTGAGATGAGGCCTTCTTTTACTCCAGTTATGTAGATTGTACAGGGTGTAACCTGGGAGTTGGTAGTACTTCAGTTTTTCATCCGAAATGTTTGCTTCTACAAATGTGAAAATGTCTACATCAAAGGTTTGTGGGATTTTCTGTACTTGGACCTTTTTGTCCGGTGATATTCCTCCAGCATTATATATATATATATATATATCTGTGCATATATTGTATATGTAAAGTAATCAGACAGCTCAAATGTCAGATCTGGTTCTACAAGCATAGCTCACGTAAAGCATAAAACGATTAATTATTGAAAGAAATTTATTCTCACAACTTGATAAAGCAAAAGATTCTGAAATAAGCAGAATGCAGCAAATTCATCACACCCATATGGTTTCACGTTTATGGCATGAGAACAGGACCTCATTAAAATGTTCATACATAACATCTTGCCAGGAGATTGGTTAGGAAAAAACCTCTCTATCCGTTTCCTCTCTATATGGAAAATGTTAGCAAATTACTATTGAATCAAAGGACTTAGTTTTGTGTGATGATGAACGACAAAATATGTAAATTAATCTAATCCCGTTCTTTGATTCAATGGTAATTTACTAACACGTTTCATATAGAGGGAAAACGGATAGAGAGGTTATATTCTAATCAATCTCCTGGCAAGAAGATATGCATGAACATTTTAATGAAGTCCTGTTCTCATGTCACAAAACGGTGTGACAGAAAGATAAAACCATGTGGGTGAGGTGTATTTGCCGGTCAAGGTTATTAATAGTGACATTCAATTGCTGAAACTAAGCCTTTCTCTCCTGACCCATTGAAAACAAGACAACAGGTGAAAATGAAAATTTTGCTACTTTCTGCATATTTCAGAATATTATGCTTAATCAAGTTGTGAGAATTAATTCTGTTCAACTTCAAACGGTTTTATTCATGAAAGCATTAAATATGTTTGCGGAACAGCTACTTTCATGTCTCCTTACGAAATCAAGTGTTATTTTGACAGAAAATTGAATTCCAGTGAGTTATGCTAGTAGAACGAGATCTGAAATTTGAGGCGTCTGAGTACTATGTTCTTTAGGCGCTTTATGTACATAATTACCCCAATGTCGATGAATGCCAGACAAAACTAGTTAATCTCGTTCCCAAGAAGGACCTATTCAATGACAATGAATCAATTCTGTGGCTACTAGACTATGCTGAGAACAAAGTGCTCAAGCAATCTGTTGACATGCAGTTCAATCCTGAGCAGGTGTACTGAATTGAATAAGATAAGGCGGTTGGGAATGAAGTTGTCAAAATTGTGGCTACTATTAGCCATCAGGAAGTGGCAAACGCGATTTTGATTTCGATACATTCAATCGAGTGGCATATTTCCGATTGAATACTTTGATGAAAACTGAGTTTGATTAATTGTTGTGTTAACACAACAACTTGTGTACATTAATATATTTCAATTGTTAGACTACTAAAATGATTATAAAGCAGTGTAGTTTTGTGTGATAATGAACGACTAAATATGTAAATTTGTCTAATCCCGTTCTTTTGATTCATTGGCAATTTGTGATCAACTGTGCCATTTCAGTTAGCTTCATTCAATTGGAATTGTGATAATTCAACTGATGATTCAATTGCCAAATCAACCTTTCCAAACGCATTAATGTAGGCAGCTAGTAATTTATTTATGAAATTTATTAGTTTTGTTATATTTATCTTCAAATCAATGCATATTTGTTCACAATACTGAAATTTGCGCCTAAATAATTTTAGATAAATTTCTACTTAATATTTATAAGTAGATATTGTCTGAATTACGGCGATCGTTCGTAAGGCTATCTAATGAAATTATCAGTTAATAAATCAACCAGAATATTGCTTGGTTGTTTCAATTTGTTCCCCAATGCGATCGGCCGCACTGCCGGGCATTAGCATTACGTGGGCCGTTTTCAATACTCCTCATTTTTATTGTCAAAATTTGATCGTTAACACATTAAGATATGAGAAATGGTGGCAATCATGAATTAAGTCAAAGTATACCCAATTTGGTTTTTTGATTTCATTTGGTTCTAATCGATATGAATCGATTTTAACAAAGAAATATAATGTGTACTAACATGTTCCACCTAAATACAGTCATCATGGTTTGCAATTTTGACACGAAGCTTTAAAATTCCACACTTTTTATTTCGTAGGATTAAGAAGCATGCGATAAATAAGTTTAGCAGAATACTGAAGGTAAATATTTGCTGAATCATCATTTATGAGGATTGGTGAGCAATTAATAGGTTTCCTAGAGCAATCTCCCCAATTGACCTAATGAACAAATCTTGTGTTTTAGTTTTCCTGAAAGGTGCCGTGTTCTCGCAGAGTATAAATGTAATTGTAATTTTCATTATCATATTGAGATGAAAAGAATATTCTAACACGATTCTATAATGTCTCTCAAATCATTTCAAGTTTCGTTTCGTAATGCCCTTTCTCGACGACAATCCTTTGCTAACAAGAATTATTCAATATCTGAATGTAAGGCAAATAGTTGCAGTTTTCATATCGAATCTGAGTTTTCAAAAGTTAATTTTAGAATTCCAAAGTGGTTACTAGAAACAGGGAAAATAGAATAGAAGGTAAAGGGAAGAAATGATACATTAAACTCTACTTGTCACGTTGAATTCGACTTCATTTCATCTCACTGTGTTCACTTTGAGCACTTTTGATTTGTATCGAATTAGGTGCAGGTAAAGTTACTCTGCCAATACGATTCAACTTAGTTATTAGCGAGTGGGCTTGAAGAAGATATGAAATCTTCAAAGATGCCCTTGATGCAAGAAATACTCTTAGTATGAAAGAGAAGCTAATTCTAAAATTGGCTTGGGTATTAAGAATAACATGCTAAACTGGATAAAAGCATTCAATGAATGCTAAACTGGATAAAAGCATTCATTGGACAAAGATCAAGTAAAGTCAGATATGGAAATGCTCTATCAAAATCCAATCTTTTACAAACAGGCCATCCACAGGTAGCTGTCACAGGCTGCACTATTTTCAATGTCTTCATCAATGACATAGCCGAATTGGTACAGACAGTCACGGGCGTTAAGTGCTTACTTACTTTATGTAGATGATCTTGTTCTATGGTATTCCGCCCCTAAGGAAA